GAAAGAACATATCATGGGGCTTACAGTCCACAAGAAAACACCTTAGGAAAAGCTAATACACATTACCTGTCTGTTAACCTAATATTAAAATACTGCAAATCCCCATTCCCTTGTTATTGTGGATAAATGAGACAAATGGGAATTCATTTATTCAACACTGTTGATGCATTTTTCCAGTCTTTAAAAAATGTATGTGTGTAATTTTTTAGTCATTTTTCTAAATTGGGGTCATAAGCACAACCCATAGTATATTTTTCCCAGACTTAATAAAATATGTGTGCACATATACAGACTTCTCTTTATTACATCGGGGTCATAATTCCTGAACCACTACACTTTTGATTTCCACCTTTTAAAATATTTTTGCTCTCTAGCCTCACTGCCAAGTTATCAGGTACCGCTCTCCTCAGTCATTACAAATGTGCCTCCCTCCAACTGTAACCCCTCATACTCTGTGGTTGAAAGGCTAATAACCCCCAAACCTCAGGTGGGCCGGGAAACTCCTGACAGGAAAGGGGGCTCGTTGATAACAGCTTCTGAAGGAGCTTAGGACCCCAGAAGCCCTTGATAAGATCAACATACCAAGCTTCCCACAATGGGATTTACAGAGGAACAGACTTGTATATGAAACCTCTGACTCCTCCAGGGTTCTCTTTTCCATCCTATAAAGCCCAAGGCCCTGTGCCTGGGCACAGTCTTTGGGACAGGAGTGGGGAGGCAGACTCCAAGGCAGCAGATGTGCTGTGTAAAAGCAGGAGTGGCTGCCTGCACCTGGAATCCATCTCAGGGGTGATTTGGGCACCTTCCTGGCTGCTGGTTTCCGGGTTCCTGCTTGGTTTTGAACAGCTGAAGTTTTCAAATTAAGTGACCTCAACTTTGGGAAAGAGTTGCAACCTTCGCTAAAGAATGCCAGTTTAACAGTAAGCACTAAACTGTTCTTAGAAACTGTAAAATAAAATGGAATTGATTTTTTTTTTCTTTAAACCCAGGAGAACCTATAGTCCAAAGAAAAATTCCATTTCTTAGTTTATAAGTCATCCTTTGGCGTGCAAGTTGGATTTCATTCCGTTTTCAGGCATGTTGTGCACCTCTAACTCTCAAGCCGCTCTCTGCCTGCTTAGAGACCACTTGTGGGCTCCCCCATTTATGGTCCTATAATGGAATGGATGGGGATTTGGGAAAACATGAGGTAACTACACCATATTTTGTCATTAACAATGCAGCGCTGTCCCTGGGCTGCTAAGCAGAAGCAGAGCAGCCAGCACAGGGTCAAGCAGAGGAGATTTTGTGGACCCTTCAGAAAGAAAGACCTGGGTTTGCAGCCACTCCTGAGGCCTGACAAGGAAGAGACATCGGGATTTCTCATGCCAATCTCTAAAGATCCAGAGGAAGAACTGGGGACACCTGGGGTTCAGGATAAGACTGAGGGGGGGAGCCCCAGCTTACCATTGCTTTGATGCCTTTTCCTGAATGCAACACATGCTCTGGAAAGTTTCTGGGCTCCAGTGCTCCTCCTGCATTACCAAGGTAGGGAGGGGCCAAGCACCTGCCTGGAAATCCATGTGCAAATTCAGGGTCTGCCCTGCCAAAGAAAACACCCCTCCTGCCCCCCCAACTCCAGCATTTATGCTCTGCCTGTTCCTTCCCCAGGCCTGCTACGCAGATGTGGGCTTGGGCAATAGCTGGAGGGGCTAGGGAGCCATTAATCTGCAATTAGGACTGTGCTTGCCTCCACCTGCCTCGCCTGCTGCTCTTGACAAGTCCACAGCTGAAAGGCATCTTTCCTTCCTAGCAGTCAGAAGCATTCGAAAATCTTGAGGTTCCCGAAGCACTGTCCTCTAACTACACCGAGGGAAGGGGGGGGAGAGAGAGAGACAGACAGACAGACAGACAGACAGACAGACAGACAGACAGAGACAGACAGACACAGACAGACACACACACACCTTAAAATCCACAGTTACCCAAACAGACCACATCTAAAGTAATGGAATGTGAAGACAAGTATTAACGAAAACAGATAAAGCTTAGTTTCCACAGTACCAGGAAGTATTATGCATGCTGCCAAGGGAGAGAAGCAATTAATAGCCCCACCCAGCTGTGACACCTCTGACCAGCATAGCAAATATCTGGAAGTGTGGGACTGCAATGTGAATTGCTGAATTTTCATAAACATTTTCAGATAAAATAATGTTTTTTTTAAGATGCAACAAAAAGGAAATCTGTGTTATTACAGATTCTCTATTGTCATTGTGACAAAGTATCTGAGTGGAGAGCAACTTTTTAGCTTGGGGATGGCTTGGTTTTGTTTGGGGGATTTGGGGAGGGGGATTTGGTGCTGCCATTGTCATTGTGGTTGTTTTGAGCTGGTCTGGAACTCAGAGTGTAGATCAGGCTGGGCTCAAACTCAAGAGATCTGCCTACCCTGCCTCCCTAGAACTTCGATTAAAGGTGTGAGGCACCAAGCCTCTTTTATTTATTTACACTTCATTAGTTTCAATCCAAGAGAGATACAGCATCACGTGGGCTATGTCCATTGTTCCTTGCAGTAAGGTGGCTTCGGGATTTGGCATGAACCATATCACTATCTCCATGGGCCCAAGTTAATTTCCCCCAGATTATTCTGGTTCTGTCAGGTTTGCCTAAGGAAGTCACTATGCTGTTTTTGCTTTACACACATAAGCACATCTCTTGTAGAGTTTAGTTTCATCTCAGACATAAACACCTCCAATTTTAGGAAGAACCATGTGCTATATATAGTTCCAGAGACCTTGCTCATACCAGCAAAAATGGCCTTGTACCTCAGCCTTCCAGGCATATTGCCTTTCAGTCATCCTGTTTCTAGCAGACCTCTATGGGTACCAAGATCACAATTTTTCATAATGAAGGAAAATGCAATTCAGCTCACAGTTTTGGAGGTCACAGTCCATAGTCAAGTGCTCCACTATTTCTGGCCCAGTGGTGAGTCCGAATGTAACTGTGGGAAGAGCATAGGGGGACAAAACTGGTCATCACATGGCACCTAGGAAGCAAAGAGAGAGAGAGGAACTGGGGGCAAAATAACCCCATCAAGGACAGGAACCTAGTTCTTCTAACGAAGCAGTTTTCAGCCTGTGGGTCTCAATCCCTTTGAGGGTCAAACAACTCTTTCAAAGGGTCACCTAAGACCATCATAAAAACAGATATTCACATTACAACTTCTAACAGTAGCAAAATTACAGTTGTGAAGTAGCAACAAAAAACTATTTTATAGCTGAGGGTCACTACAACATGAGGAACTGCATTAAAGGGTCGCAGTATTAGGAAGGTTGAGAACCACTGCTCTAACAAGGCTCCAGCCCCTCAAGTTTCCACTGACTTCCATCCAATTACTTCCCAAAGGCTCCCACTTCTGTATGCCACCATGCTACATACCAAGTCCTCAATACAAGAGCTTTGAGAAGACATTTCACATCTGAACCCTGTGTCACACTAACCTTTGTAGTATCCATTAACCTAGGAGGTCCCAGTAAGCTTAGATATATGATTTGATGTAGTTCATGGAGCCAGGAAATCTAAAGTCACAGATGAATGATGCCGGCATTGTGGAACACAGATCTGAAGTCAGAAAACTTAGATTACATGTTGACATTGCTTCTTTTTCCTTCTCTGTGTGGCCTTGGACCATGCTTAACTACTCTGGGCCTTCCTACCCCCATAAAGGTAGATATCTAGACCTCAGGCCAATAAGAGAAATAAATGATACAAATCTGAACCCAATGATGAAATCTAAGCTCATGGTGAAGGTGCAAAAGGGGGGGGGACTTAAATAGCCCAGGCCAAGCATGAGAGCCATGGACAGACTGGGTAGAAGATATGGGTTCCTCACTGACAAACCAAGCTCTGGGCCTAAGCCAATGTCTTAAGCTGAAATCTCACCTCCTGCACCCTATCCCCAAGTTCCCAGGACCACAGAATATTTAGGGATTCTGTGCTCTCCGTGGAAAGCACATGAAGGTGAACAATAAACCTACAAATACAATGTGGAAAGACAAGTAGGGATACCAGGTGTCAGTCTGCATCCTCTGCCTATCTAGGCCTGGAAAGAGAATGCCCTTGAAATATCTTTCCTCGATTCTGTCTAGTTCAACTTGATCTTAACATCAAAAGTTGGTTTTTAAAACAGTAAGTCCAAGAAATCTACAAGGCAGAGCCTGGCTCTTTGCTGTGTCAAGCTTTGTCTCAGATCTGGTCACAGCTGTTATTTTAGGATAAGCAGGGCCAGAGTTCCCAGAAATCTGCACTGCCTGGGGCAATCCATTCTAGGCTCTGAGCATTTAGAAGATCCCAAGGTTTCTGCTCACAGATGTAGAGCCAGTTCTCAACAGCCTGGTTGCCAAGTGGTCCTTCCTTCCCTTTTCCATAGAACCAGAACCCACACTAAGGTGAGAGAAGGCAGAAGTCTGGCAGGTCTACATACCAATAGGATTCCATTAGGACCTCATCCCTTTCCCTTTGCCAATGACTGACAAGAACCACACCCAAACAGACATCATTATCCTTGCTGGTATGTAATGCAGGAAATAAGTAGACAAATATCCTGTGAAGGAGACATGGACACAGAAAATCCAAACAAGACTCCAGTCTGAGCCCAAGGAAGCTCTTCTGTTGTTGAGATGTAATAAGGTGTTTGTATGAGATCTTTCAACTGTTCTGTGTAGACTGTTCTCTGCATGGAAAGTACATGAGGGTCAATAAACCAACCCACAAATTCAACATCCCAAAATAATGTTTATTCTTTGGCACTTCAAACTTGGCAAAGGTTAATATCAACTTGCACAATAATTAAATTAGATCAAGATCACAAAAATATCACTGAGATCATCTTTGATTCCATGAACAAAAGGGACCTGAAGGGGTTAGAGAGAAATGGAGAGCTAAAGGGGGTTAATCAGCCAATGAGTACACGTCATTTTCCTTTATTCAAGTGATTCTCATGTTATTCAAATATCCTTGAGTTGGTGATAACATTTTTCATTCTGAGATAGGTGTTTTAATTTTTCTTGTTGTTTTGGGAAATTCTTCTTCAATGAATAACTTTTAGGTGTCTGCTTTTAAAGGTACTATGCATTTTTTAAATATTTTTTCAAAGTCAGGCTGACACTTCCAGTTCCTTCTGGCCAGACTTTTCTGCATCATTTACAGAAAGACAGCTGTTCTGCTCAGAACCTGTCTGAGAAATTGACCTATATATCTTGTGCCCCATGGAATCCACTTCCTCAAAGACGTAGCCGGGAGGTTCTGTGTATGATGCTGGACACCTGTCCATTTCCTTGGGAGTAAAGCTAATGGAGTAAGTGGTCTGACCTTCCACAGGGATGTTTCTTCGAAGGCCAACCCAGGGGGGCTTGTAATTTTTAGTAGTGGTAGGCGGGTGGGGCACATAACAGATCTTAGTGGTAGTCTGGCAGTCTAAAGGCTCAACAGGAAGGGTCAGATGAGGAATGGGTTTGATTGGCTTTGTGTTCACAGCTGTCCACTGCTTGAAGTCATCCTTGGTGGTGGTACAACTTTCAAAGTGACTGTTCTTCTTAATGGAAAGCACAGGTCGGCAAGATTGAGCAGGGGTCCCCTTGAGATATCTGTAGTGGGTCTGCACAGTTGTCAGGAGATCCATCTTCTCCTCAGGAGGGACATAGGTAATGGGAGCCTTGGAGACTATCTGGGGTGTTGCCCAAGCTTGGTACTTTTCTTGAAACTCGGTGGTAGTTGAAAAAGGTATGTCTTGCACAGGGCATCTGGCTGGAGGTTTTAAGCTCTTGGCTGGTTTCCCTAGGAGGCCTCGGTAGGACTCTTTGTGGGTGGTCAGGTTCTCAAAGGGGATGTCACAGGGTCTAAATTTCTCAGGCTCTCTAACAAAGCGCTTCTCTACAGGGTGGGGCACATAGCTCATCTTGTAGTTAGTCAGATCCTCCAAGGGAATGTTACAGAGTTTTGGTTTGGTCAGAGGCTTACAGCTCTCAGTAGTCACAAGGCCTTTCATGGTATAATCATCCTGATGTGTGGTTCTGTTTTCAAACCTGGTAGATTCTGGCCGGTACTTGTGTGGTGGACGAAGCATCTCTCGTTTCGGCTGGTTCCAAGGTAAATAATCGACTGAAATTAAAGAAGAGATAATCACTGATCAATCAGGTCTCCTAACTATCATGTGTTTTAAAGAGCCCCAAAGACATAAGATAGTTTCCAATTATGATCGCTGATACAACAGAACCAAGTAGATCCCTGCTCCGATCTCATCCACAGGCTAGCAGCAGCCTGCTGTGCAAAGAGACCAGTTTACCAAAGTCCCCCTCATGTCACAGTGCTGTGCACAGAGATTTGAGAGACCTGGGGTTTGAATCTATTAAATCTATTCTAGCAGAGAAGTCTGACCCAAAGGCAGCCCTTTATTGTGCAGGAAAAGGGCTGCCTCTCGCTGGCACAGTTCACATAAAGACACATGATGTATAGTAACCCAGAAATTCACAACCCACACTGATGATCCACAGCCATGCCAACCAGGCCCACCTAGTCAGTGACTGCTATTGTGTCCTTGTAACATTAATGTCTAATCCACATACACCAAATGTACTGTTCCAAGGGAATCAACGAGGCATTGTCCAATTGCAACAGCTGCCTCCTCGGCCTTAGTTCTCTGTATATTAGTTCATTTTCTCTTCACATCCAGATTACTTGGCTTGAAATGAATATATATATATATATATATATATATATATATATATATATATATATATATATCATGTTCAAACCCAGATTCCAAAGCCACTGTACTGGTGAGAACATTATGTGGCAGCCAGTCATGCTAAGGCCTTTCCAGACATAATCTTGTGACATCTTTATGGTCATCTTCTGTGATGATTATCATTGCCTCTACTTTTCAGATCTCTGAGAGATAGTCTAAGAGAAACTAAACTAAACAGCTTGGATGAAAACTTAGACATAGAGCTGACAGTTGTGTCTGCAGTCATCCTTCAAAGCAACCCCAGTCACAAGAGGGAAACCACATTTCTTCATACAGACTGAAAAAGAAAAACCAAGGAAGATTTGTAGAGAAAGGCTAACTTCAGGGTGTCTGAAAAATGAAGCTCAGCCAGCTGGACCAAGCACACAGCCATCTCAAGAGGAACCTCTATGGCGGGTTGGGATCTCTAAGACGAAAGGACTTGCCCCAAAGGAAATCTGCACTAGAGAGAGGAGCACACACACACCTACCAGGCAGTTTGTGAAGCAGCTTTATCCAAACCTTCAGTGTAGCTCAGAGACTGAAAGTCCAGTTGAGAACAACGGAGCAGTCAGTGTAATGCACACTGCCTTTCCGTAATGCCTGGCTCACAACTGCTGCCTGTGTTGTCTCATTATACTCATCAATTACTGGCCTAAAGTCACAGATAATTCACAAGGAGTTCTCTTGTAGCTTTGGGGACAGGGAGACCAAATGCTGCTCTCAGGGGCCTTAGACTTACATAATCAATGGGAATGGAGGCCACAGGCATGACTATTAACCACTTTGTAGAGGTTTAATTTACATACAAAATGCCACCCATGAAACCTTTATCTATTCTCAAACACCACACGTCTCCAGTTTTTGTTGCTGTTGATTTTTTTTTAAGCACATGTTGATTGCACTGCAGTAACATTTCACACAAGCACATAATGGGCCACTGGTCATACTGTACATACCACCACCCTGTTATGGTCTGTTATGCTCTAGGAACTTGTGTGTCTCCATCTGGTGGTGCTATATGGGGAGGTTGTGGAAACTTTGGGGTGAAGACTGGGTGGGCAGATACAGGCCACTGGGAACAGACCTTGATCAAAATAGCCTTCTAGTCCTTTCTCTGCCCCCTGATCTGCAGACATGTGAGGAGCAGAGAGTTTCAGGGCCAGATGGCAGACCAGAGACCACTTTGTGAATGCCAGCAAAAAAAAAAGGGGGGGGGGGATTCAGAATCAAAAAAAAAAGAAAAAGAGAAAGAAAAAAATAGAATTTAACTCAAGAACTCAAGGAAAAGCTTCAGGAATTTACCAAGAATTCAAAGGACACTGAAGAAGACAGGAGTGAAGCTATACCACCATGTAGAGAAAGAAGCCAAAATTAGCCTCAAAGCTGCAGTTCTGTGAAAGGAGGGGCATGGACCTCAATAGCCACATCTAGGTAAACTAGATGAAGCCAGAGCAGCCCTGCCCTCAAGACAAGCTCACGGCCATCATGAGCCTCAACCCAGCTGCAGGCTTTAATGATGTACGACTCTTCCAGTTAGCGACGGAAGGAACTTCTATTCTGTCAAGCCATATGGCTCAAAGGGCAGCAGAAGTGGGCACCGTCTTGAGAGAGAGATCACTGTTCAGAACTATCCTGGAGCCCAGGAACATCTACTAGTAAAGAAGCCTCAATTCAGCCAGCCACAGCTCCTGGGTACTGAGAGACAGTTGTGGAGAACAGACAGACCAAATCGTGCAAGCCACAGGAAGGGTGACACAGGAAGGTCAAGAGAGACACAGCCCCTGCCTCACTGGCCACAAGCAGGCCTCACCAACAGTTATTCTGAAGTTTGATAACTCTGAGCCTAAAGCCAGCATGTGGATCAAATGCTCGAGCCACCTGTCTGCCTGCCTTCACTGCTCTGAAGCCCATTAAGTTAATTTTCAGGTGTGTGCAGGATAGCCACAGCAACGTTCCCTCCTGCGGGAGAACATAAAGTCTGAGAACTGCTCATCCTGCACCATCTTAGTAGCATGGCTGCTTCTCACGCTCCCAAGGGATACCCTTCAACTAAAGACAGAGTATGATGGAGCTGCTCCTTGGTTGCAGCGGGGGTTAGTGGGGGACTGCTAAGAATCTGTCCAGTGCACAGAATATAAAACTAAAGAAGGAAAACTGTTACCATGAAAACAGGCATCAGATGCCTGTCTAGTACAGACTCAGCCCAGTGGTATAAACCAAAGGAAAGACCAGAGCTCAAGTTCAAGCACCCAACCCTTCAAGCCTATCATCACAGCCCCTAATTCTCAAAGCCCAGAAAGAAGAGGCCCTGATACCTGAACTTACTTTCTTTTCCCATATGTTTAAAGGGATTTGACTGATGTGTATTTTTCAAAACTTTTTGTTTTTGCTGTTATCCTTTATACATTTATCTCATTTCTGCATTTTTTCCTCTATCCTGGCAATACATTCTTTCCCTTCATTTTTTTTTTTATTTCTGCCTTCTGTGCTTACTGCTTTTCCCTGTCTCTACATTTATTACTATTTTTACTTTACCTTATTTGACTTTTTTGTTCTCTTTTACTTTAAAAACACCCCAGACCCAGGGTGGTTAAAAAACCAGGGAGGTAGATAGTGGTGGTGCACTCCTTTAATCCCAGCACTTGGGAGGCAGAGGCAGACCGATCTCTAAGAGTTCCAGGGCAACACAGAGAAACCCTGTCTCAGGGGAAAGAAAAGAAACAGCAAGAGTCTGTGTAGTCTGACTGTACTAGAACTCACAGTATAGACCAGGCTGACCTTGAACTCAGATTTGCCTGCCTCTGCCCTCCAAGTGCTGTGATTGTCATGCACTACCACACCTGGCTTTTTTAAAAAATGTTATATGTACACATTTGTCTCTCTGACTTTCTGTGCACCATGTATGAGCAGAAGTCCACTGAAGTGTGAAGCGAAAGAGTCGAGTCACCTCAAACTAGAATTACAGGTGGCTGTGAGCTGCCATGTGGGCACAAAGAATGAAACCCAGGACTTCTGCAAGAGCAGCCAGCACTCTTAAGCTGAGCCATCGCTCCAGCCACTGACGTTTTTACTACTCTGACCTTCCATTTCTTTATTCCCCTTCTGACATTTTCCTCAATTCCGGCTTTGAACTATTTTTCTATTTGGAAACAAATCTTGTCTAACTTTTTTCTTTCTAATCTCTTGCTCTCTTCTTTCCACCTCTTTTCCACCCTCTTCTTTCTGCCTTCATCCATTCGAGCTCGCTGCTGCTTCTCCTCTGCCCCTCTGTCCTTCTGTCACCTCGTTCATTTACTATTTCCGTTCTCACCCTGGGGAGTTTCTAACCACACAGCACATAATCCGGCAGCTGCCCCTGTCACGCCTACAATCATTGATGGCATGTGTGTTTCTGCATCTGCTATGCCGTGGTGTTGTGTCTGTCACCATGGTTTGTTTCTTCCCCACTGAGTAGTTCTGGGGAGTGAGCCTCCACAAGTAGGCTGTTCACAAACACCCCAGATCCAGATGCGCTATCCAAACCGGCAGATGCACAAATCCCGACACAGAAACACAAGAAGCGTGAAAGCGTACTAGCATGACTTCTCAGGAAGGTCATAACTCGGCTATCGAGCTGAAATAAATAAAACGCCAGATAATTTTAAAGTTTTATGATAAAATTTTCAGTGTTCTGAAAGTGATATTAAAACAAGCGGATGAGTTCAGTGCGGAACTAGACAGGACACGTTGTGGATGAAATATCAGCAAAATGAAAGAGAATGGCAGAAGTAGGGAAGAAAATGTCAGCAACATAGAAGAAAAATTAATTAAGGAGGTTAAGATTTTTTTTTTAAAGAAACATTGGTCAAATATTCAAAGAATGAAGTAGAAACTGTTAGCTGCAGACTCAACAAGTGAAATAAAAATAATCATATATGGAGGACATAGTTGATAAAACACCACACCAATGTATCAATAAAGGGTCTGGAGAGAGAGATGGCTCGGTGCTTAAGAGTGCTTGCTGCTCTTGCAGAAGACTAGAGTTCAGTTCCCAGCACCTGCACGGGGCAGAGCTCACAACCACCTTTAACTATTTCCAGAGGACCCAACTCCCTCCTCTGGCTTCCATGAACAACCACATATAGAGAGACTTACAGTCACATCAATACAATAAATGTTTCTATAAAAAGATGTCAATAAGGAAAAATAAATAAATGAGCATAACCACAAGGTCCAAGACCGCCGAGATATGATCATAAATGCAAACCTAAGAATCTATATGATAGAAGAAGGAGCCAAACGAACACTTTGGTGCTTAGGGTTACACAGACTATTCAGTGCAATTATAGTTTAAAAAAAAAAGAAAGAAAGGAAAAAATATATATATATATAT